ATTTGTGTGGTTAGGTATGATGTGGCTTTAAATTTCTCGTTGTTTCTTTCTCGCACTCAAGTTATGTAATGCTGCCACCAGGAATTTAATTCCAGTCTTTAATTAACTTTTCCCGCAGTATTGTGCCCAAGCTCTAAGGCTCCTTTGTTGGACTATGTGGTTCTGAGGAAGACTCTCTTATATTTTAAACAGCGTATGACTCTGGGTTAACAATAAACAGGATAAAACTCTATTTGCACAAGAAGTGTATTGGTTAGTTGTTGTTGTTGCTCAGTCGCACAGTCGAGTCCGACTCTTCGCGACCCCATGGACCAGATCCTGCCAAGCCTTCCTGTCTTCCGTCGTCCTCTGAAGTTTGCTCAATTTCATGTTCATTGCGTCGATGACACTGTCTAACCATCTCATCCTTTGCCGTCCCCGTCTTCTTTGACCTTCAATCTTTCCCAGCATCAGGGTCTTCTCCAGTGAGTGCTCCCTTCTCATTTGGTGGCCAAAGTATTTGAGCTTCAGTTTCATTATCTGGCCTTCCAGGAAACAGTCAGGGTTGATTTCTTTTAGGATTGACTGATTTGATCTCCTAGCAGTCCAAGGGACTCTCAAGAATCTTCTCCAGCACCATAGTTCAAAAGAATCTATTCTTCGGCACTCGGCCTTCCTTATAGTCCAACTCTCGCAGCCATACATGACTACTGGGAATACCATTGCTTTGACCATGCGGACTTTTGTTGGCAGGGTGATGTCTCTACTTTTTATCATGCTGTTTAGGTTCGCCATCACTTTCCTCCCAAGGAGCAGGCGTCTTTTAATTTCATGGCTGCTGTCACAGTCTGCAGTGATCTGGGAGCCCAGGAACTTGAAGTCTGTCAGTGCTTCCACGACTTCCCCTTCTATTTGCCAAGGAGTGATGGGGCCGGATGCCATGATCTTAGTTTTTTTGATGTTGAGCTTCAAGCCCACTTTTGCGCTCTCCTCTTTTATCCTGAGCAAGAGGCTCTTTAGGTCCTCTTCACTTTCTGCCATTAGAGTGGTATCGTCTGCATATCTGAGGTTGTTGATCTTTCCCCCCGCAATCTTAATTCCTGCTTGTGATTCATCTAGGCCAGCATTTCGCATGATGTACTCTGCATATATATTAAATAAGCAAAGTGATAATATACATCCTTGCCGTACTCCTTTTCCTATGCTAAACCAATCAGTTGTTCCATACTTGCCCTCTGCTCTTCCCCAGTAGCATATTGGACACCTTCCGACCTGAGGGGCTCATCTTCCGGTGTCATATCTTTTAGCCTTTTGATACTGTCCATGGGGTTTTCTTGGCAAAAATACTGGAGTGGGTTGCCATTTCCTTCTCCAGGGGATCATGCTTGGTCTGAGTTCTCTGCTGTGGCCTGTCCGTCTTGGGTGGCCCTCCACGGCATAGCCCACAGCCTCATCGAACCACGCAAGCCCCCTCGCCACGACAAGGCAGTGATCCATGAGGGGGGTGTATTGGTTACAAGATGCTTTATTGCTTGCCTCTTCAGTGAATATACCTTCTCCAGTCTTTATTACATGTTGCTCAGTAAAATCTTTCCATTTTTAACTCAGTTTTCTGTCAGTTTCCCCCCCTCACACTCTTATAATACTCTGACGATATTAGATTTCGACTAATATGCCCCCTGAAGTTTTTTACTTTCTCCTTTAGAATCTTAATGCCTTAGTTTCACAGCACCTATATAGGATTCTAATAAGAAGACCACAATCGACAGTTTGCTGCTGATTGCTGACTGAACACACTGCCTTCCCTCTCTCCACACACACACTTCTCAGTCACCAACCAACCACCTCACTCACTCATCTCCCTCTTTCACCTCCCCTTCTTCTGAAACTTACCAACCATTTAAAGAAACACACACTTTTAACTTGAAATCATTACACCTATGCATCATTTGGGAGTAGACAGAAGCCAGTTTGGTGTAGTGGTTAGGAGCACAGACTCTAATCCAGGAGAATCAGGTTTGATTCCCCACTCCTTCACATCCAGCTGCTGGTATGACTTTGGGTCAGTCATAAGTTCTTTCAGAGCTGTTCTCTCATGAGCAGTTCTCAAAAGAGCTCTCTCAGCCCCACCTACCTCATAGGGTATCTGTTGTGGGGAGGGGAAGGGAAAGGAGATTGTAAACCGATCTGAGACTCCTTCAGGTAGTGAAGGGTGGGGTATAAATCCAATCTCTTCTTCTACTTCTTCACATCTCATGGTTACTCTGATGTCTCATTATCTGTTTTGGATTTGCCAAGCAATAGAAATCAAACTTGATGCCAAAGACTCCTATATCCAAGTTTTGATTTATTTATTTTTTAATACTGATTTTCAGCCCCAGGTAGCAATTTTGGACATCGGGAAAAGGTCTCTGGGAGAAATGGTGTTTAACCTTTTCCTCCCATGTCTGTCCCACTATTTAAAAATCCCCTTCTGAAGCAACAGTTGGCTCTTTCAGGGAAAACAGATGGGTTTTGGTGCCTGTATCCATGCCTTGTCCTGTAACAGCCAATTGCAGCATTTTATATCATGGAAGAGATATGAAAAGATATTTAAAAACCTTATTTTCCAATTATCCTTCCCTTGCCTTCAAAACTGCACAATTTCCCCCATCTAATCTAGTCTGGCCCCCAAGGGTCTGCCGCCCCAACAGTAAAAGGTGCAGACATACACACACACACATACCCTGCAAGGTATGAGTGCTGAAGTACATCAGATAATTTCTTGGTAGAACTGCTGATTCAGCATCTGAGAGCTTTTGAAGTCTGTAATTACATGTCAAAGCACTTGGCACCGGTATCTTTGCCACCCTCAGCTGTTGGGGAAAAGATGAGCAACGGTTCATCAAACAAGAGGCAGGAGGGTGGGTGTGCAGTTTAAAAGGAAACTAGAATGCCCAGCGGGTTGGGAGAGCTAGTCCCTCTTTCTACCCACTGGTAGTGCTCTTGGCTCGGTTTGTCCCCATGGATATCTAGCTGGCAGTGGAGGCTAAGACTGTGTTTTACCCAGTTTGACTTGTGTGTCAACCCAGTCACAGCTGCACATGTTTTATTACTACTATTATTTTCTATTTGTGCAGTAATTACAGCCAGTGCCCCTCAAGGCAGTCAAGAAGACAACACAATAAAAATACAGTATTTAAAAATCTAATTACAAAACATTCAAGAAGCCACGTCTGTCAAGGCTGGCCCTATAATCCGTTAAAATCCCAATGCAGAAACATCCTCAGAGACCCTGCTGTTAGTGCCTGTAGAGCCTGTCATGAGAAAGAAGGTTTTTCATTGGTGGCACCCAGACACTGCAAGTCCTTCCCGGGGAAAGTTTGCCTCCCCCCCCCCACCGCCCATTGACCTTCTGAAAGAAAGCCAAGGCAGCACTTTTTCAGGGGACTTTTGATTTGTGGTTCTGTGGTCTGTGTTCTAGCTAGAGCACATTTCTTTCACCAAAGGACTGTGGTTTTGTCTTTTTAATGGGTTTTATAACATTCAGTGTTTAAATTTAAAAAAACAATGGAAGCCCAGGACCCATTTCTCATATGAGGATGGGATGTAAATGTTTTAACTAAATAAATGTGGATGTGTCATTGTGTTGTGTGCATAAGGGTGAGAGTCATGTGATTTGAACATGCATTTCTTATGCGTTGTCACTTGACAAATGCAATAATAAAACCCTTGCAATGATTGCCCAGGGCTCCCATGTTAGATGAAGAACTCTTGGGAAGAACATGGGTGTCCATGAACAAAAAAACAGAGCAAAAGACAATATCTGCACATTCACTCTTTCAATTTTTTGAATTCTACATCTTTGACTTCAACCAGCTATTTCTAAGTTAAATCCCCCCCCCCTTCAGTTAAATACACGGGCTATTACCATAGTGGTTCTCTCTCTTTTAAAAAAAAAACCTCTTTACTTGTGTCTAAAATAGTTTGCTGCAAGGTTCTGAGACTGTCATACTGGAAAAAAATCACCTTAAATCATCTTGGAATAATTTTTTTTTATATCTAAAGATTATATCTAAAGATTTATATCTAAAGATTTTTATATCTAAAATCTTGGAATAAATTATCTTATTTAAAAAGCAAAGTGTCTTCAGAAGAGAAGAAGAAGAAGAGATTGGATTTATACCCCGCCCTTCACTACCCAAAGGTGTCTCAGAGCGGTTTACAAACTCCTTTCCCTTCCCCTCCCCACAACAGACACCCTGTGAGGTAGGTGGGGCTGAGAGAGCTCTTGACAGAAACTGCTCTTTTTCAAGAACAGCTGTGCCAGAGTTATGGCTTGCCCAAGGTCATCCAGCCAGGTGCAAGTGGAGGAGTGGGGAATCAAACCCAGTTCTCCCAGATTACAGTCCGCGCACTTAACCACTACACCAAACTGGCTGAAACGATTACTAGTTACTTCACTGAAACTGGCTGAAACGATTACTTCACTGAAACGATTACTAGTTATTTCTCTGCGAGGGAGCAAACTCCCATTCCCTGAACAGAATTCAGGACTTATGACAAAATGATACTTCGAAGAAGAAGAAACAACAGCTCTGAGAAAACTTGTGACTGACCCAAGGTCAGCAGCTGCATGTAGAGGAGTGAGGAATCAAACCCAGTTCTCCCAGGTTAGAGTCCACCCTCTTAACCACTACACCTAACTGGCTCTGGGAATCCTTTCTCTGCCATGAAAGTTTTCTGGGTGATCTTGGGCCAGTCATATACTCTTAGCCTAGCATACCTCACAGGGTTGTTGTGAGGATAAAACAGAGGAAACTGGTTTAAGTCACTTTGGGTCCCCATTGAGGAGAAAGGTGGGATATAAATAAAGTAAATTTAAAAAAATAGACCTAATATACTTCAAGATCTAAAGGTGTCAACAGTGGGACCTGCATGCACGAAATGTATTGAGGATCAGAATGGAACCTGTTTTCCCAGAGGCCTGAGATAAGATGTCTGCACAAGGACCCCTGTTTTATTTGTTTCTCTTGTTATAGTTGCTGTGGCTGAAATGACTCCACCAAGAAAATGGTCCGTCTCTCGCTTAACAATTCTGCTCATTGTCAGCACAATATTGGGAATAATAGCCGCGACGATATTATTGATTTTTGCTTTTCTCCCTGGTAAAAGTGGTAAGTTTTAAAATCTGTATCTAGACGTTTATGTTTTAGTATCTAAATGGTAATGTCTGTGGGGTTCTGTGGCGGTGGTAGTGGAGGTGAACTGACTGGCAATTATTTGATGAGTATCACCAAGGTAGGGATGCCAGCCTCCAGGTGGGACCTGTGGATCCCCCTGAATTACAGTTCATCTCCATACTTCAGAGATCAGTTGCCCTGGAGAGAATGGACGCCTTGGAGGGTGGACTCTATGGCATTGTACCCCAATGAGGTCCTTGTCCTTCCCAGGCTCCATCCCCAAATCTCCAGGAGTTTTCCAACTCCTGTCAACCCTATGCCCCCATCCCCCCCCCGGCCAAGAGGGACCTGGCAACCCTAGGAGAGGGGAGGTCAAAGAGCGATCCCCACTGGTCGAATCTGCATTGTCTTTCCCACCGGTGTCCCAGCCTTCTGACTCCATCTTCAAAAAAGCTGTCTATATTTGGTTTCGTTTTCATACCTCAACAATGCTAGCATACTTTTGCATGTCCACATATGTTTATCGCCTTCTCGTGGTGGCGCCTCTGCCATTGCACCTCCCCACTGCTTTAAAAGAATCTTCTCCAAACAATGTTCAAGCAAGCATAGAAAAAGACGGCGTCACAGCACCATGAAACTGATTTAAAAATGCAAATGCAGATTCGACCACTGGTGCAGCCACTGAGCTTCTTGATTCTGGCAAGGAAGAGGCTCTAGGAAAGGAAAAAGAGAAGAGGCAGGGGCTTAAGGAATGCAGAGGCGGGGTTGGGGCCAGAAGAGGAAGCACGGCAAGAAAGAAATATGTGGGGGAAGCAGCTAGGGAAGCAGTCTTCAAAAGGCTGATTGCAAGGGGTGAATGGAAATGGGGAAAGGAAACGAGACAGAACACACAAGGCCGGGAACTGCAGAGATAAGGGTGGCTGGGTTTACTGACTGAACTGAAAACCAGAAAAGCTTTTTGTCATCCAGCCTTAATTTTATTTAAATAAGATGCAGTGCAACAAACCCACTTTAAAAAAAAAAACCCTTCCCCCCCATAGAAATGAATACAAATTAAGGATAATGCAGGGTTCTTTTGCTAACGACTGATGAGAATTAACTCTCAAATTACAAATGTTCTTTTCTGCTCCTTTTCCAATAAACACTAGAAGATGTAAGACTGGAAAAGCTGTCTAATCCTTGCATGTATAGAATTGCAGTATTAATCGCCTCTTTTCTCTAGATCCTTACTTAATCGGTGTTGGCCGAGCGGACTGCACTGGCCCTGTAGCTGAAGTACCATTTGTAAGTAGAGATGAGTGAAACGTAATTTCATTGGATTCTGTGATTACAAGCATAGTTCTAGAAGTAAACCCAGTAGCTTTGCTCAAGGACCAAACAACACAACTCCTTGTTTTGAAAGGTTCTCATTAAAAATGAGTGCCTACTGAAGTTATCCCTCTGACCTGAATGGCCCAGACTAGCCCTGAAAAGTACTCGGAAACGTGGAGTGATTTCAGCAAGAGTACTTTATTCAATCAGGAACAAGACAAAGTAAGCCGGCGCGCAGGCCGGTATATATGCACAGAAACCCACCACCAAAACACACCCCTATTCACCCTATAGGTTATTTACAGAAGCCGAGAGTCCCATAGGCTCTCGGCTGCGGACCTGGCCCTCTGATTGGTGCGGGCTAGGATCCGCTTGGCTATTGTTCTAAATGTACGAAGCTTTAGGCTTGTGCTTGACCGCATGGCCCAACGGTCGCGCATGTGGTAATGGCGGAGTACATTACAAGCCCGATCTCATTGGACCTCAGAAGCTAAGCAGGGTTAGCCCTAGTTAGAATTTGGACTGGAGACTGCTTTGAATTTGGACTGGAGACTGCTGAGGAAGACCAGGGTCACTATACAAAGGTAGGCAATGGCAAACCACCTCTGTGTCTCTTGCCCACAAAACCACAAGGGGTTGCCATATGTCTACTGCAACAACACTTTTCCCCACCACTGAAGTTCTCAACCAGTTAAGAAATCTAAGGTCCCGGTCACACGGCGAATTTGCCATGGGAGAGCCACGGGTGGTGGGCGGATTATCGGGGCGCGATCACACCGCAACATCTGGCAAGTGGAGCGCACCCGTGGACAACCCGTGCCATACCGCCAAAAAAGCGCAATAAAAAAACAGTACCTCGTATGCAGTGGCAAACGGTTTGCCATGGGCTGCCTCCGGACTCCTGAGGTGTGAGCGCACCGGCCCCTCATTAATGCACAGGCGGGGAGGACAGGACCTGTGGTTTGCTGCCGATGTGTCGGATCGCATTCTGGCAGCTCTAATTGCACTTGAGCAATTAGCCACGCCTCCCCCCCGTGTTATCCGGCCCATGTGACCGGGGCCTAAGTAAATTATTTGTTTAAATTTAATTATTCAGTCAAATAAATTTGCCCGTAAGTAAAACTACATCATTAAGAAAATAGCATATTTCCAGTGTCTTTAGGTGCTGCATGTTATTGTCATTTTAGGGGAGACATTTCTTCCTAAGTAAGGGAGAAACAGCATCTTCTTAGACAGTGTCTGTTTTTTGTAAATACCTATACTAGGCTCCGGTCACATGGGCCGGAAAAGGCAGGGGGGGGCGTGGCTGTTTGCCCCGGAGCAAAATAACGCGCGGTTGCATGATCAGACGTCTGGTCGAGGTCCCGTGGTTAGGGGGGAGGTGCCAATCACACGGCCATCCTGCAGTGCAGCAAACAAGCGGTGTGGCGCAATCACACCAGCAATCGCTAGGCACCGCTGCCGTGGCAAACGGGATGGGGGGTTTTTTTAACCAAAGTTTGTGCATACGCATGACTGAGCAATCGTATCTGCACATCCAAAGGCGGGTGGTGGGCTTACCGGAGAGGGCAACAGATGCTTCCGGACCCCAACAGAGCTCCGAGGCATAGCCAATGGAGGGTGAGGGGGCCCCCTCGTCACAGCCGCTCTAACCGCCTGTGCGATAGTGACCATAGTGACCCTCCAGAGGCGGCAAGCCTGGCTGCAGTGGGAGGGGGCCTCTTTGTGCGCATGCGCCGTTGAGCGCTTGTACGCATCCTGTGGAGACTTGGGGGGGAAACCTGTTTGCGACGGGACATGGGCGGGCGCCTGATGCCACAGACTACCACCCGAAACGCGATCAGACACCAGCCCTTGCCCCGCGGTTTCCGGAAGCTAGTACCTTGGAGGTACTAGTTTTTTACTCTGCATCTTCGGCGGGAAGCCTCGGGTTCGCCATGGGAGCTCTACAGTTCCCAGATGTTGCAGTGTGATCGCGCCCGGAAAATCCACCTATCATCTGTCTCTGTAGCGTGGCTAATGCTCCATGTGACTGCAGCCCTAGAAATATTTTGTTTACAGAATCTTGTTTAATTAATCAGTGCCAGCTTTTTAAATAAGCACACAAATGTAATTGATTAACCCCTACACTGGCTGTAGAGTTCCAGTGCAGTCCTAAACTGATTTCCACCCTTCTAAGCCTATCAACTGTAGTTAGGGATTACACTCCCAGTACCATTTTAAAAAATAAATCTTGTGTGCTTAACTTTTTGAATGTTCGTGTTTCAAGTAACTGTATTTTCCCGTTAAACAATTTTTAATAAATGGAAAGGTTTGAAAGCAACAGATCTTGTAAACATAGCCTTACTGGATTGAAAAAAAGTCCCAGGCTGAAAACAGGTGCCTGCTGCATAGTGAGAGGAGATGTTGCCTAAATGAATGCAATTACAAATCTACAATGGAGATCAAACAGAATATGGGATCTGGATCAAGGCCAAGGGTGGATTTCATGTACCTGAGAAAGACACCCTTTGAAGAGTGCCAGCGCACAACTGTTTGGATTTGCTAATTGAAACCAAGCCCTGTATGACAGTAGCATTTTAAAGGGGAAAAGGTGTACCCTTTAAAAATCTCTCTCTTTTTCCTTTAAAATACTAAGAACTGCAAGTAATAGTAACCCAGCTTTTATTACTGAAACTGAATGGTCTAAATCCTCCCAAAGCAGCCCTGATCCAAATGGAGGCTCTATGTCCACAGCTTACATTTTAACAGAATTACTATGATCCTGTGAATTTACTCCTAAGTAGTCGCGCATAGGTTTGCAGCTTAGAATATTTTATCTAGAAAAACAAAGATTAAAATAAAATTATTTTGCAAAGAGCAAAATAAAATCACAGAAGATTGAGCTGATACGTATCAAATTTACGTAGACACTTGGAATAAGGCAATCTGCAAATAGTTGTTTTTTATTTGCCAAACAGTAAAAGTGAAATATCATTAAAGCCCTGCCCCTTAACAAAGGAAGCTGTTGGGTCAGCTTAGTCACAATTTCTTCTTCAGAAACTACTGGACAAGCTGTTTCAAAGCCCACGAATGCATTTTATATCCTGCAGATGAGCTAGGGTTGCCAACCTCCAGGTGGGAGCTGGAGATCTCCCGCTGTTATAACCAGAGGTCATTTCGGGGGGGGGGAACGCGGGCGGAATG